CACTTTCCAGGCTCTATCTCTTGACTATCGAAGGTGTGCCGTTCAGAGACCGCCCGCGGGTTCTCCGGAACTGGGATTGTTGGGGTTTTTCGCGGATTCTCGACTTCATATTCGAAACCAAGGGACTGAGAAAGCCCGTAAATACAAAAGCATAACACTGTTTCTAATACTTTTTGTATGTGTTTTTACACTTTCATGCTACGCTATACCGGTGGTGCAACATTCGGTGCTTCTCCAACATTTGCCAAGAAAATTTTCAAATAATGGTAAAAATCAAAGAGAGAAGCTAAAAAAAAGACTTAACGTGAATGGATAGAATAGTTCACAAATCAGCAATACATGAACAGCAGAAATGAAAGAAAAGCGCCACTAAATCAATTTACCTCACACTCATACGAGAGTGAGAGGAACCCTGGCGGCTGCTCATGCATCATACGGGTCCTGTGACGATGCGGATGCCAGTAGCAGTTCCGTATTTATAAATGGTCTACTTTCAGGCGCATTAGCTTCCCTTCTTCGGAAGGTCCAAAAAGTATACTATCTGACTAGAGAAGGAAGATAACTCGTCTTAAATATACAGTGAAGTCTATCTAATTGTCTCTTTCAACTGAGTACGTAGATTATTTAGATGGAAGGTTATTTGCTTCACTTTTGTGGTGGGAACCATCAACTGGTCATGTTTGAGAAGAAGTCAGGCTTTGCGTGGGTGCCGAATGGAACGGCGAACAAATATTTTCTCTTACTTCGTTGTAGAGATTATGTAAACCTTGCTGGGAGTCAAGCAAGTCAAGCTTGATCTTGTCTGTCAAGAAGAGTTGGTCCCTGTTTTTGAGGTAGAAACTATATTCGAATAAAAGTTTTATGGATGCGCTCTTTCTTCCGCCCATTTCTTTGCACTTAAAGGTTGGCTAGCTAGTTGCAAATTCTTTTTTAAAAGTTCAAAGCAGCTCCGATCCGCTTAGTAAGCTATTAATCAGCTGACTGCACACAAATCCTCTCATTTCGTTGAGATGATTATAAAAAACACGAATCTCTCCTAGTTTTTTCGCTTCTTTTGTGTGCGGCACATCTTCCGCTTGCGCACTGTCTCACTCTCGGTTGACATTCTTTTCCTCATTTCCGATGGCGAGTTCTTCCCGATGTTTGCACTTCACTCACTCCGCATAGCCAATCCAACGCAGCTACATGTGATTTTTCTATCGATCGATATTGATTTCCGGTATAGGATCAATCACTTATGCTCTTGGTCGCTGCGAGCTTTTCTTCTCCACACTACAGACGACGTTTCAGAATATATTATGTTCTTACCAGAGAATGGTTTTGCTAAAACCATATTTTTTCAAATCAGAACCTCATTTGGAAGCGTTGGTGTTTTTCCTGTCGCAGATTTGTTTTACTCTTGAGTAGGTCCATGATGCAAGAAAGTGCTCGAGGATTGTCAAAGTTGCTCGGAAACATCATATCTTACGATAGCTTTGTATTATGAAGCTCATATTCGATTGTATTGCACATAGTGCGGTTTTTATTGAGAACAAAACCAGAATGTCAATCAAAAAACGTACCGAAAATTGTAGTTATCTTAGATCCAAGCACAAATTCAAATCAAAAATAAGGGTAAGAATGACAAAAATGATTTTACACCTCCCTGCGGCATTTCCGAAGGAATTTTGAAAAAATATGTAGTAATTGATGTTACGATTTATTCACTTTTTTTCACAGCAATGTCAAATAACGATGCTGAATCAAACTCCACAAAAAACCTTCTTTTTCAGAAAATTAATCAATCAGAAGAGGTTTTTATTTCCAAAAAATGACGATTTTGAACATATTCGTTGCAAATATGGACCAATTTAACAGTTTGCCCTCAAAAACAATCATTGAGTTTTGATTAGGTGGCCTTAATTTTTCACTTGGAAAATAGTTAGGATGATCTTACTTGAAAGGGTATTACTAGCAAAATGAAGCTATGTAATTACATATATGAGCATCAATCTCCTCTCCGCATTTTGATAAGTTAGGATTTTGTCTGATTTGAGTATTTGTGGACAATTATGTGTTTGAACCTTCATGCAATTGAGCAAAGGAGTAATGTGGAATATGTGGAATCTAATAGTGAAGTTTTGCTATGCTATGAATCAACTGTTTTTTGTAAGACGGAATGGCTTTTGAACAATCAAGGTCTTTCATTCTTTTTCTCCAATGATAGGATGTAAAACATAGATATGTAAAAAATGGATTTGCTTCTAGTCAGTCAAGGTTGTTCGCCTTTTTTCCAGTGATGGAGATGCACAATTTATAAGAATAACATTGCAAAGATATCTTGGCTAAATAAAAACTGAGTAAGGATCAATTGGAAGATTTTGCACAAAGCTCATAGATCACTTTCTTCTCACTCAGACTATCCAGCAAACGTCACTTTCTGCTGCAACTGCGATTCTGAGCAATACTGCATTCCGTGCTGTAAAATGGACTTTCTTTCTCAAGATTTCGAAACGTATACATTTCTGAAAACACGTAAAATATAGCAAACATTCGAAACCACATCTGTCAGCGAATGAGAGAATCTGCAGCAGATGCTGGATACACTTCGGGATAAGAGTTTTTTACGAGTGGACGTTCACGACGTATTTTAAAGTATTCGGGGGTTTTCCTCGGGCCGAGTGGGAGTGCAATCCTACAGATTGTCAATATATACAAAGTTCTTTCTTATTCTTTTTGGGACCTGAGCTTACCTGGCTGATGTAACTAAAGACTGTTCATATGCATAGCCATTTGTATTTTGGTCTAACCTATTCCCAGAAATCGCAAAATTTTACCAAATTTATTTCTTGCTTCTTTGCTCCATTTTCACTGTTATCCGTTTCCTCTATCAGCCTACCTCATAGCAAAATTTTGATTTATTCTACGTCTATAAGCCCGAACCTTCCCTTCCAGATATGGACCGCTATTCGCCACGTCCTCCTCCACGAAGCTACAGTAACCTGAATGTAGACTACAGTAACCTGAACGTTGACGTTATGGATGGCGTTATTCGTCCTGTGCCACAGCACAGCCCACTCACTAAGGTATTTGATACAGTATACTGTAATTCGTGTTCGAAATGGAAGGAGTGTGTTTAGCAAGTGAATCAACTTGCGTACGAGATTCCAAAGAACAAATATGCATCGAATCCATGGAATTATGCGCCGGAGTTTTTGAAGGTAACATGATTTTCTCTTGAAAATTTTGATTTTTCTAAATTTCCAAAGTTTGAATTTGTTCAGGTGTTTGGCGATGTTCGAGTGCATGTTGGTGGAAGAGCTGTTTTCGATTGTGTGCTACTTGGCAGTCCGCGACCAAAGGTTATTTCAACTTTTTCCTCAAGTTCAAGTTGGGTTTAGGCAGATCCTATGCCACTCCAGACAAAAAAAAACGAGAAGGGTGA